TTTTTTTTTTTTTTTTACTTAACTACTATAAAGAGCTTTTATAGATTCTTTTCTCATAAATGCATGTTAAGAAATTGCAATATTTCTGTTTTACTTGAAGCCTGAAACATTCGAGTTTAGACATTTCTCTTCATTTTGCACTGAAACCACCAAAGTGAGTCTCCAAGTGTGGCTCACAACGAGGAAAGAACTTGATGAAACTCTCTCTTTCCTGTATTGGGTAGATGGGTAACCACAGTTCTTGTCTTGACAATATGTTTTAATTATGTTTCTCTTTAAAACACAATCTTCCTTCAACTTTTATATTGCCTTAAAATGCAGCAAATGTCTATTCCTTTCATTAACCCTAGGTATTTATTTTTTGCTGCCCTCATGAAAGTAAAAATATATATAGTTTTATGAGTGGTCTGGTTTCTCTGTCTTTGGTCACAAATGATGATTTCTTTTTGATTCTCACTTTGTCTCCAACTGTCAAAAAGAAAATGGCAAGATATTGGGACTGACCTTTCTGCTTCCAAGTTTTTGCTGTAGTCATAAGGAAAGATGACCTTTAAGGTCGCTACCAGCCATGAGCTCAAGCAAACCATACACTCTTGTATCCACAGGAAATGAAAATGTGAAGGTCATCTCTCAGCACAGAGGGGCCTGGGAGGGTTTCCTATTCATTCATTGATTTGTCTTTCACAATCTCAGAATTAAAGATATAGATAGAGAGATAGAGAGAGAGAGAGATAGATAGATAGATAGATAGATAGATAGATAGCTATAGATAAATTGAGCGTCTGAATTAGGATAAAAATCTAAGTAGCTTTCCAAAGCTTCTATTTCTGGACTTGGTTTTTATGAACTCCCTTGTATTTGCAGAGCCGTAGAAAAATTATGGTTAAGCACAGATGTTTAAATTTCTAAACTAATTTCATTAGAAAGTCTCAGACATGTTGATGACCATCTACCACCTTGCTCAGGAGGCAGGGACATTAGGGGTAGGGTGAATAACCCCAGCAGAATCCTCTGGTGTTTGGCAGACTGGAAATTACCCTGTAGTATGCAGCCGGGGTCCTCCTATTTTTCTCTGGTGGATGGAATTCATGTTTTCAATGGATCTACATATATGACCATGAATCATACTTGTGAGTTGACCCCTGGTCTCAGAATGCTGGAAGTGAAATTTCAGCTGTGCTGCCTAGTAGCTGGGTTACACTGGGCAAGATGTTTATTTTCTCTTTGATTCAGCTTCTTTATCTATACAATGGAAACAATAGTAGAATCCTTTTCATAAGAGTTATTTTGTGAACCATTGAGTGGGTACATGTAAAACAGCACAATGCCTGACCCATGGTAAGTTTCTCTATTTCTTTAAAATAACATGGTATAGGGGCGCCTGGGTGGCTCAGTCGGTTAAGCGTCCGACTTGGGCTCATCTTGCGGTTCCTGAGTTCAAGGCCGTGTCTGTCTCTGTGCTGCCTGGAGCCTGCTTCGGATTCTGTCTGTCTCTCTCTCTCTCTTTCTCTCTCAAAAATAAACATTAAAAAAAATAAAAAATAAAATAACATTGTATAGGGGCACCTGGGTGGTTCAGTCATGTAAGTGTCTGACTCTTGGTTTCAGGATATGATCTCATGATTTCATGAGTTTGAGCCCCAAATTGGGCTCTATGCTGGCAGCACGGAATCTGCTTGGGATTCGTTCTCTCCCTCTCTCTCTGTCCTTCCCCCACTCACACTGTCTCTCTCTCTCAGAATAAATAAACTTAAAAAAATAACATTGTATATATCACTGAAAATAGTTTAAGTCTATGAAACTTACTGATATGTATTTTGGTGTTTTTTTTTTTTTTTTTTTTGGATGGAAGGAAGGGAGGAACAGTGAAAAGTTGATGATCCTTTAATATTATCCATTGTATGCCCTTCTATGCACCAATTCTTTGTTTCCACCAGTGTTTTGTTAAAGTACGTTCTATACATGTTTAATACATAGATTTTTCAATGCTTATTTTATTTGTTTCAGCCAGCTCATAACATGTTTTAGTGTTTATGCAGTAATAAGATTTATGACAGCTTGTGTCTTGCCTCTGAAGGATAGGTGCTCAAGCATGAGAAAGAAATGAAAATTAGCCACAGCTCTTTGCCATTAAAAAAAACTTATCTCTATGCATCTGAACCCATTTACTGTGAATTGCTATGATGATAAGTTTGATAGGAAAATTCACTTATGAATGGATTTATAGTAATAAACTGTGTTAGTGCCATTTATGCCGTTCTGAACACTGTCCAAAGATAAAGTGATGTGTGTGTGTGCAGGGATCGCATGTGTGTGTGTGTGCGTGCTTGTGTGCATGCACCTACATGTGCATGTGACCTCTCTTGCAGAGGAAAGGAAAGTGAGAAACAATTTCATGTACTAGAAACCATGAGTGAAACTTCAGCTAGCACTGTAGTTCGCCTGGTTTTAGAAGAAGGATTTCCTTCCTTCTTTCTTTCTTTCTTTCTTTCTTTCTTTCTTTCTTTCTTTCTTTCTTTCTTTCTTTCTTTCTCTCTCTCTCTCTCTCTCTCTCTCTCTCTCTCTTTCTTCCAATGTTTGTTTGTTTGTTTATTTATTTATTTATTTTTTAACGTTTATTTATTTTTGAGACAAAGAGAGACAGAGCATGAACGGGGGAGGGGCAGAGAGAGAGGGAGACACAGAATCAGAAGCAGACTCCAGGCTCTGAGCCATCAGCCCAGAGCCCGACGCGGGGCTCGAACTCACAGACCGCGAGATCGTGACCTGAGCTGAAGTCGGACGCTTAACTGACTGAGCCACCCAGGCGCCCCAATGTTTATTTATTTTTGAGAGAGAGAGAGAGCGCACGCGAGCACACGCATGAGCAGGGGAGGGGCAGAGAGAGAGGGAGACGCAGAATGCAAAGCAGGCTCTGGGCTCTGAGCTGTCAGCACAGAGCCCAACGCGGGGCTCGAACCCACAAACTGTGAGATCATGACCTGAGCTGAAGTCAGATGTTTAACCATCTGAGCCACCCAGGCACCCCTGATTTGCTTATTTCTTTTGCAGAAAACCATTCCTCTTCTCCATTCCTTTTGTGCCTGTAGTGTGACCCTAGTGAGCTCCCCTGTCCTCTTTTCCTGCCTTCTTTTGCTTTCTTTTACCTTCCTCTTTGTCTTGATTTTTTTTTTTTT